ATTTCTTTGTTCCATATAATTTTCTGTGCTGAACTCATTTGTTTATGAATAGTGCTATCATTTCCTTTGTTGCTATTTGCTAAATATTTGTGCTTGTTCCCTTTTTTATTTTGATGTGAAGTTTTATTATTTTCTTTTGAGGTTACCTTGTGATTTATTATTTTCTTCTCAAGTTTAAGATAGTTTGTTTTGTCTCACAATTGTCTTGACTTTCTAACTATTTAGAAGTTCTGTAACTACACTATTTATTCCCTCTGTTTGGTTTGCCATTGTCCTCATTTACCAATTGATGTCTCTGGCTCCCTGTTTACAGTCTTGTTAAGCTTATTTTATTTTGGATACTTCTATAACTGGGCTGCTTTCTGGGTTATGTCAATATGTGTCTTAATCATTAGTCATTGTTTGCTGTTGTTGGTTCTCTGTCTGAAGGCCTCCCTTTAGCATCTCTTGTAAGATTAGTGTGGTTTTAACAAATTCCTGTGATTTCTGCTTATCTGGAAATCTCCTATTTTCACCCTCATATTTGAGGTACAGTTTTTTTGGGTATGTAATTCTTTGTTGGAGATTTTTTTTCTTTTAGGGTTTTATATATATCATCCATTGCTTTCTTGCCTGCATAATGTCTGCCGAGAAATCAGTACTTAGTCTTACTGGTGTCCTTTATAGGTAATTTTTCATTTTTCCCAGGCTGCTTTCAGTTTCTTTCTCTGTCTTTGGTTTTGTTGCATTCGATGATGATATGTCCTGGAGATTTTCTTTTGGGGGTCTACCCTGTTTGGGGTTGAACTTCTTGAATGGATATATTCTTGTCTTCCACCATATTAGGGAAAATCTCTTCCAACAAAACTTTAACAATTTTTTTTTTCCTGGGGTTTTATTTGTCTCTTCTTCTGCAATTACATGTAGTTCCAATTACATGTAGTTTATTCCTCTTGATGGTATTCCACATGAATCTTAGGCTTTCTACCTTTTGTTTTTATCTTTTTTCTGATTGATGCATTAACAAAGTAGTATTGAGGTATTCATCTTCAATCTCATTAATTCTGTCTTCCATCAATTTGATTTTACTCCTTTGCCTCTTCAATATGTTATCTATTTCTGAAATCTTAGTATTAATCTTCTGGAATTTTATTTGCTCTTTCTGTGTTGTTTCTCACTTTTCATTTATTTTGTCCATTTGTTCTTGAATTATTTTCCTAAATTGTTCAAGAGTTTTGTCTGTGTGTTCCTTAATTTTATCAGTGTTCTCCTTGATCTTGCCAGTGCTCTCCTTGATCTGTCTCTCAATCTACTGGAAAAACAAAACAAAACAAAACAAAAAACCTCAAACCACGATCCTCATTGGGTTTCCAAGGTGGTAAATCTTTGTGGAGGTAGATTGTTTAGTCTTGCTTCTGCGGAGTGGCTGGTGGGTTTGAACCACCAACTGTCTGGTTAGCAGTCAGATGCCTGAGGCATATAATTTTTTTGAATTTCTTATCAGGAAGTTCCTATACTGCTTCTTCCTCAGGGATGTTTTCTGGTTTTGTATCCTGGTCCCTGTTTCTACTACTTTATCTTGCTTCTTTGTGTGGACTGTGATGATCTGTAATCTCCAAGACATGGTAGTAGTGTTATATTTGTGTATAATGTGTAAAAGAGAATGAGAGTATGTTTTTAAATCTCTGTTAGCTATTCATAAGGAGCAGTTGGGGGTGAGTTGAGCTGGTATTGGCTGATGACTATCATTGGTCAGTTGGTGCAAAAGCAAGTGATGGCCCTCACTTAGTGGGTGGGGCTGCAGGAGGTGCAGGTATGGTTGGGTTGTGTTGGAACAGTTGCTGACTTCCACTCAGGCAAAAAAAAAAGTAAAAAAACACAAACAAAAAAAATTAAGCAAGACAAAAACTCAAACTGCATAAAGAAACAGCAACAAATTTTAAAAAAAAGAAAAAGAAATGCAATAAATGCAAAGAAAAATTTTCAAAATATTTATAAAAAGGATAAAAGAAAGACAATGAGAAAAAGAGAAGAAAAAAAAAAAGCCACAATATCTAGGGAAAGAGGAATGAGAGAAAAGAGCAAGAGTAAAAGTATACTGAGGAAAAAAT